TCCTTTTTAAAGCAAAAGCAGTCTTGCAGAAATGTCTGAATTTTGACTGAATTTTGTAAAACATAATGTTTATCCCTCTACATATGACATCGGGATGAAACGTTCAATTTACCTGGTAGGCTTTTGTTGGAAGTACCTGCAGTCCATCGCTTCTTGCTTCTATGTTTCTTCTTAGTAGTTTATCCTCCTTTTTCATGCATGACATTATGAAGTGATTGAACAGGCTTGATTTAACATCTTAATGTACTTACATTTTATAACATCCTGGTGTTCTCTCTCTTTTGGATTTGGAAGGCCAAAATTGTCATACGTGCTTTCTTCGTACACTTCAGCAGTTTAGGGGGGGTGTGTGTCTGTTTGGGGTTGTTTTTCTTTCTTTCTTCAAACTTAACGTACCAGATAACGGGTTACTTTTTTTGGACGCTTAGGAACTTTCTGTCTTTTTAAATTGCAGTGGTTCATTCCGAAGGATTTGCAATGACTCTCACTTGCCAACCTGAATTTCACATTCATCCTTACTGTACTTGCTATCTCCGTGCTGCCACTTGTGCCCCTGGAAAACAAACGCACGCACTAGATCTTTTTCATACCTGAATAATCAATTTACCAGTTTCTGGTGTTATCTTGCTTTAGTACAACTTCTGTTTGCTTTGTAGTGTGCTTGTGTATTTTCTAATTCACCAGGTTTTAAACATTTTGTTCTAATCTTCCAACAGAAGTCAGACTGAAGGTCTTTCCAAGTTTGTTGGTAGAATAGTTACCATTGCCGTAGGGGTATGAGACACTAAAGCAAAGGGCAAGAGGAAAAGCAATACATACGGACTATGCAGAAAGACATAATCCTTCCTTAAAAGCTGCCAAGCTGGGTGTCTGTCTGTAACCAGTCCCTAGGTCAAATCTTACTCATCCTACCCTTCTTGCGTTTACAAACAGAGTTTGTGCACAGGTCTGGTCTTTTTTTTCACCATAGCATGTGCAGACTTAGGCCATGGCTCTCCTTCAGCCATAGAAGAGGAAGGGTGACAATGCTCTTATTACCAGACTTCACTATACAGCATCTTTGGCATTTCCGTGTGTGTGTGTTTATCCGGCAGTACACAGATGGCCTTTAAAAGGAAGTTGCCGTTTGAGACTCTCCCAGGGTATGGGAGGTGCTCTGGTAACTTTGTGTTTTCAGCCTCAGAAGATGCAGATGCCCTGTCTCCGCGTCCTGAGCTCAGGGTCTCTGTGTTACTGCTGATCATGAACACTTGGAGGACGCTGATACACGCTGGAGCTACATATATGCTCCTCTGTCTTGGAAAACTTAAGTGTGTTAAGAAATTAGGAGTGTAAATGTGAGATACCTTAGTGGCAGTAAACAGATTTAAATATTGAAATGCTAGTGGCTGAAACTTAGATTTCATATTGATGGTATGATTTATAGTTCAACATTGACCACGGAAGAGAACTTCAGCTGCACCCTTGCAGTTTACATAAGTCACAGCTTCTCTGCTGGCATTGTCTGTCAGCAGGTAAATGCAGTGAGGTATTGAAATTTGTATTGCTTAATTTAAGAAATCTTAAATTGTATTAATAAATGCTCAAGAAGAAGGAAATGGTTTAACATTTTTATATTAAAGCACTTTCATTTGACAGTTCATCAGTGATAATGCAAATTACAACAAGTTGTTAATGTTTTAAAGATTTTTGTAATCAAAAATAGTTAACAATGCTCGTGTTCCTGCTGTTTAACAGTGTGGGGTTTTTTTTGGGGGGGGTGGGTTTCTTTGGGGGTTGCTTTTTTTTAATATCGATTTTCCTGTTTTTGAAGCGGTCTACAAGGAGAGCACCGTTGCCAGTTACTTTCCTGCTACATGTTGTGAAAGGGGATGTATTAAAATCAGTGATTTGTCCCCTGAAAGTCTTTGCCACTGCCAGCTGCAGTGGTACTGCAGGATTTACTGCATTTGCTTTAATACCTAGTAATACTTGTTAGTGGCCACTGTAAGAAGAGAAGCTGTGCTGTTACGACCTTACAGTAAGCTGAAAAATACCTTCCTGTAATAAGCCTGTGTGAGATCCCAAAATAACAGTGAATCAGAAGCAAGGCGTGGATAAAAGCTCATGCCTCATCTGCACGGATCGCTATTACTCCTCTCAGCGCCCGAAACTGAGCGGTAACAACTGTCAGGTGTTAGTGCTCTGTCAGTGTAGTCCCATGCTGATCTCTGCTTTCAGGAGCACTTGTGTCCCAGGTGAGCAGTAGTATTTGCAGGGAGCTCTGAGATTCTTGGGAGGGAAATGTCATGACTGTTTTCAGATTCTTCAGTTAAAAGTCTGTAAACTCTTGGGCACGCGAGTAGTGCGGTGACCTCATTGTAACGAGCTTTGGACTTAACTGAGGTGAGCATACTTGCTGAGAGTGAGATCTGTATACTGGCTTGTATTTGTACTTTGTGTATTGATAGTTTAAATATATATTGGTCTTAATAGTATTATTAGAAACAGCTTCCTGAAATTTCACAACATTTACAGATCTGTTAATGTTTAAGCTTCACGCTTTCAGAAATCAGTGCTAGGAGAGTATATTAGTACAGCTTACCCTTTACTGTTTATGGAAGACAATGAGCTTCAACTTTACCATCTTCTGGATAGTTTTACTAGGCCAAGGACAAATACTAGATACACATCGTCTTGTAGAAAATGTTTGTTGTTAAAAGACTGTGCCACATTACAACAGATACTTGATGACTCACTAAACTAGATCTGTCCAGCTGCTTAATAGAAGCAGGCTCTGTTGAACAATGGCTCTGTGCAGGCATTCTCCCCCTTCCCCCACCCCCCAATTGTCACAAGAAATGAGTTGAAACATTTTTCAGCGTATTGCATGGTAGTACACTGGTGTGTAAATAGTGCAGAAGCTGTACCCTGGCAACTGCCAGTGTCAAAGCATGAAATTCCATGTGAGAAGTGCATATTTGGGCTATTCAAGGAAGTGATTTTCAATGGGTCACGTGCATTAGAGGCACAAATTTTTGGTGTGTGGAACGTCAATGAAGATTTCTGTTTTGCTTTACATGAGATCGCGCAAACTTCAAGGACACTTCAGACAGTTGGCGGTGGAGTTCTTGCTGTGTGTGCTCCAAGCAGAGCTGTTTCAAAGAATAATACTAAAGGAAAAATTAAAAGTTACAAGGAAAGTGTAGAAGAAAGTATTTTTCCATGGTAACATTACTTGCTTTACGGTAATGTGGGAGAGAAGGAAAGAAGGCAGAAAGTGCAAGGTGCCAAAGTCCACTATTTCTCAGTTAGTTGGTATTAAAATTCATAGCAAAAATAACTTCCAAGTGGTAGATATAGAAAGGAAAGAAGAAGGGCAAGATACCTGGAAAAAGATCGATTTGAAACATTAACGTGTTAGCACTGCAGTTTCTTGTGTACATGCTATGGCTCTCTTCATGTCCAGTCCAGTAGAAGCAGTAGAATAAAAACTTGGGTCTGGAAGTGTTGCCAGGAAAATAAAACAATGTCACTGGTGCAGTTATGAGTCACTGTTAGTATGGTGGAGGGCTGGGAGGGGGGTTACGCTTACTTTCACTTGCATCCGTCTTCAGTCCTTAGTCCTGCAGAAAGAAGCAGAAAATCGTCATGTATCCTGCCTACAGAAATAGGAACCTCTAAAAAGTTGCTGGAAGAAAAAGTGTAGTGAAGCAAGAAAAGGGAAAGGAGGGGCTCTGTTCCAGTAGGACAGATTAAAGGGACTAGCACTATTGATAGTTGCGTAGCAGTGTCTGAGTTTGGGGCAGAGCTTGATCACAGTTAGTCTCTGCGTAGAAGCTTTTTGGATCACTTCAAAGACACCATTTGAAGGCAAACATGCAATTTGAATTAGTGGGTTTTTACTGAATTTCCTTGCTGCCTTGTATGTGAAGACCAAGGAGTCCAGGTGTGACTCACACTGGTTCCCAGTTTCCTGTTGACTCTTCTCAGAAGAAGGCTCTACACTTTTTTTTTTTTCTCGTGGGGCGGTGGAGGGCAAGTTGGGTTGTTTGCTCACTTTTTATTTTACCTTTGTTCTCTCTACTCAGTCTGTGCTAAACTATTGAGGCTGAAAGAATGTGTCCTTAGAGATTAAGCCATGGTCTTGACCTATTTCAGAAGTTAAAGCCAAATGTTTCAGCATTCTGGGCAATAGTGACAGTACTTTACCATGTTATTTTGTCCATTAGGCCACCAGAAAACAATCTCTTCTTGGTCCTGTTTCAACAAATGTGTTGTAATGTTTCTTAATGTTACTGAAAGATTTGTTGAGGTTAAGTAGGTGTATTTAGGTTAATCAGGAAGAATGTTTTGACATTACCCCTAAAGACAAGCAGCTTCCTGCCTCCTTTTAAATTGCAATTGTTGAACACGTAGTTGTTCATAAGAATGGAATGAAGCCGTCCCTGGCTTACCCAAGACTTGTAGGTACCAGCCAGCCGAATATCTGCCCCACTTCTGTAAAGGTAATTACAGAGTGTATTTTTCAGTCCACTTGAGAAAAGTGCCAGGCACACAAATGTTTGTACTAGGTGAAGTAAATTACACTAGAGGTAATTCTGGCAACATAGTGAGGGGAATAATGTACTTAGCCCAGCAACTTTAGCAGAATACATGAGTATTGATCAATAGGTATTGTTACTTGCTTTCTTACATCGAGACAAAAACATCTCTGCCTATACTGTATTGTCAAAGAGTGAACACAATGCATGCTTGTTGCAAATCCAAGATGCCTGAAAGCACAAAGGAAATATCCAAAATGCTATATGCCACAATTACAAGAAAATGTAATATAAAATACAGGTGCTCCTTTAGAAATGGTGTGTGAGTTTTGATTGTAACTGCAAGGAAATATACACTGATATGGCTGATTGCTAAGAGGTGTTTTTAAAATTCAGTATGTGTTCTTCAGCACTTTGGGGTTTAATGTCCACCCAATCTAATTGCCTTTCCTCCTTCTCTTTCTCTCTGTCTTTCAGCAAACGAGGATTCAGTGTCCGATCCTTTGGAACAGGGACTCATGTGAAACTGCCAGGACCAGCACCGGACAAGCCGAATGTTTATGATTTCAAAACAACATATGATCAGATGTACAATGATCTACTTAGGAAAGACAAAGAACTGTATCCCTGTGGCATGGCCTTTTTAAAAAATCCAATATGATTCATCCTTGAAAGGTGTAATTCATTATTTGGCATTATGCATTAGGATTATATAGTTGCTTGACTGGCGAACTTAAGATGTTTTAAGTTTATAGGAGGTTTTTTTTTTTTACAATGAGCCTCTAATGCTCCCTTGTAAATTGCTATTGAGTTACAATGCACGCATTCAGAATGCTCTTTGTAGTGTGTTAACGTGTTTAGCTCTTGAATGAAAGCACAATCATACTATCACAGATTGTCCATTACCTCCACTGCACTGTGGATCGTGTTTTCTCAGTGCAAAGGCTGTCCTGATAACGGATATACGAAGAGCGACCACCTCGACATTAATGTTGTATTTAGCTCAGACAAACTGACAGGTAAGGTTTACAGTATACTTTCTCTGGGAGAGAGGATACCTTTCATTAAAAGAGCTCACTGACAATTTCTTCATAGGCAATTTGATCTGTGCACCAAAAACCCCCAAATCCCGTAGTATAGTATAAAGAACGGACACAGGAGAGCCCAATAACATATTTCATCCTGGAAAGCAGAGGTGATCAAGGTTATGCACACTACTTAAAACCATGACTAATGTCAAACTGATGTTAGAACATCTATATTTGAAGCTGATTTTTCGTTTGTTTTTAAGAAAACCCACAAATCTACGGAATTGGGGCACTCATTTTAGGTAGTCTTTTCTCAACAAGGGATCTGATTTGTTTTAAAATGTTAAATATGAAAGAGAAAACTTACCCTAAATAAGGGATTTGGTATATGCTGAATTTCTGCTTAAAAGATAGAGGATCCTTTAGAGTGAGGTATCCCAGAAATGAATCTTAGTAATTTAATAGAGCAGTCTTTAGTCGTAGAATGCTTTTTTTTTTCTGAAATCTTGGGTGTCACCATCTGAATTTTTCAGGAATGTTGACATGGCTTAAATGTCTTAATTGTACACAAATACCAGTTTTCTTGCATCTTTTTGAAAAACAAACAAACAACAAACCCTGGAATAAGACTAAACAGGTTGTCAGAGGCTAGAAAGCTTGCAACATGGTAGAAACTGGTTCAAGCTGTTACCCAAGGAGTCAACAAAGTCAGTAACTTCTTAAAAGGCAGCTCTCCAGTTGTTTGGTAGCACAGGTTACACTATGGCTTAGTACTACTCAGCAAATTCCTTGTTCTATTTGCTGACCAGAAATAGTAAATTTGGGCTCTCTGAGACCCCAAGAGTGGCGGATTCTGTTGCATTGGGCATTGAAGGACTTCTGGTAAGAAGGGCTGGGCTGTTTGGTTAAAGCTGTACAGCACAGTGAGAACCGATGAAACACTGGAATGCCTTTCTGTGTGGTGTTCCACACATGGTATCTCTTGCAGGGGTATTGATTTCCTAACCTCTAACTAGAGGTCCATTTTTAGGAGAAAAAAAATTCAAAATGTAGGGTGTAGTCTTATATACTCTTAATGAATCATGTGTGCCACGCTGGGGTTTTTTTTGTCTTCATCCCTCTGCCCTTAGAGAAAACAAAAGTCTTACAAACCCATCTTAACAAGCTATGCCGTATCTTGGTTAAAAAAATTGCTTCATAAGAACATTACTTGTATTGAGAAATAATTTTTAAAAGCACTAATGGCTTATGATTTCCTTGTTGCATTCTTCATTGCTGCTGTGCTGGCTATGGCAGTGCTTTAAGGTAAAACCACACGAAGCCTACCGAGTCCCCTCCATTTATCGGATCGTGGAGTTGCCATTTTGGTTCTGCTCCACGCTGGAGATGGTTTTGTGTTCCCCAAAGGTATTTGCAGTGCTACAGTTAAACCTTTTCTCGAGATGAAAGGAAGGAAGTTTGAACAACAGCTGTTGCAAGGGAAATAGGGAAGGAACAATTGCCTCCACATCTTTGCATTTTTGGTTCTCAGATAATACGTTAAGCTTTTTGAAGACTGTCAGTGCAGAAAGCAGCTCCATTTCCAGAAATGGCTTTTGAGGGTAAAGACTTTTACAGTAACCAAAACCAGACCTACTCGTCAGAGGGTTGTGGAGTAATTTTTTTTGAACCAGGGTCATGTGGGTTTATGTTTTTTTGGGTGAGCTTTACTTCATAGAGGTGATGGGCATGCAACCATTCCCTGCTGAAGGGTGGGAGGGCCTGCTTTACTGACGGGCTTTGACTGTAATTGGTATGGGCAAACCAAAGGAGGTGTGGTTCTCCATATGATTCAGCTCCTTGTTCCCCAGCCTTGCTTTCATCAGCTAAGGGGAGATGATTGGCATCTATAGCCTTTCCATCTGGTTTGGTGACAGCTGTCTGCTTGTTCCCGTATTCCAGTGGGAATGAAGTTTGAGTGCTCAGCATTCAGTACTGCCTCACTTAGGAGTGGTGTCCTTCCTCCAGTTCTGTGGGCCAGCAGGGTCCAAAGCATTCTGGACACTAGATAGTGAAATTGGGGCTGTAAAGAATGCAGAACATTCTCTGGCCAGCAAGTAAGTGACTCCTGTTTCAGAAAGCAGTAGCCTCAAACAGAAATGAGCTTCTGCAGCGTTGGACATCAGTCAGCGCAAGGTTAAAAATGTGTTAGAGTGAAAAGATCCATTGAAACTCTTATTTACTTCTGGAGAAGGGGGAGAACTATCAAAACCCCTCTCTGCAGATAAAAGCAGCTTCATTGCAGTTAATTAGTGAAATACAGAGCACAAGCTGACATACCTTGAAGGCATTTGTTGAATTTCAGCAGCACAGGAATAAGAAATTAATGGAGCCAGGCATACAGATTCAGTTGAGTAGGTGGTTACCCTCTGTGTAAAATGGAACTGCTTCAAAGTGGTTTAAGATGTGGTAGTTAAACCTTGTAGTTAAGTGTCCACAACTACCGTTGCATTTTTAGAATACAGCGTTTAAATTCCCTGTGTCCTAATAGAGGGCTGTGACAAAACCATTTAAGGCTGTTCTGCTTATGGCTCTTGGTTGCTTTTTAAAATATTACTCTTTTATTTCTCAGGGAACAGTAGAGGGTTCTACTGCTGATCTGTAGGAGACATGACCATGGTCTGCGGTACCTCTGGGGCTGTGCTTACGTAGTGTAGCTGCACTGCCTGGTGGTGTTTGCATGTGGACCTCTCAAAGACAGGCTGCTTTGACTTGCCCCTTACAGGTGTGTGGAGGGGTTTAAGGACTTAATTTTAATTATATGGTGGTGACTTTAAAGATGAAACAAAAATAGAGGCAAATGGGTGAGCCTTGCCTTCACGTGAACACAAAAACTAGTCAAGGATAAAACTTTCCGAACACCGCTTTAAATCTGCAGCAGCAGTTGCTTTTACGCCCAGGGATAGGAACTGTTCAAATGGAAATTGGACCAGAATTCCGCAGCAGTAGCTCCTAGGTTCCTTTTCAATATTAACTAACTCCATGATTGATTCTTTTTCTTTCTCAACACTGATATGTCTGTGGCCCTCAGATGGAAGATACCTAATGATTTCCATAGATAGGGCTTTTTTTTTTTTTTTAATTAGGATTTCTAGGCAGCCTAACTCTACTCTGCAAGCTTGGACTCCTGCTCTCTTTCCTACTTTTTTGACCTCCTCTTTTAATTTGTCCAGCTCTCTAACTGTAGACAGGATTCCAGTTTTAGGTCCATAGTTATATGATGATATGACATTGGGGGTGGGGTGGGGGGTGAGGCCTGACCTCAAGAAGTTACTAAGGGTGTGCTTCAGTTAGAAGGGAGAAAGTTGGAGAAGTGAAGAAGAAAAACTGGCTTGGTACATATCACTGAAAGACATAAGGATTCTTTTCTGAAAAAAACCAAAAAGTAGGAGTAATCTGGGTGATTTGGATGCAGTTTTTTCTCTGTGAACTCCATATTTAAGCCAGGTGGCCATATCATACTTTTTGTGCTATTGCTGATGTATGGTGATGTCTTGGGGTTTTTGGTTATGGGTTTGGGTTTTTTTTTTCAATTTAATAGTACCCTTCCCATTCAGAACAGGTGGAACCAGTTTCTTCTGCCATATACAGATCACTTTGCCAGTAAATATTTGTAGCGTGGTCTCCCCGTAGGTGACGCTTATCCCTGGTTTATCCCCTGGTCTTCCATCTGCCTGCGATGACGTGCTCTATTAACTGGTAAGATGCGTTGTGGTAGAACATCAGTAGGGGAAAATGTGGTGGCTTTGGAGCAAGCATAGGCTTGAGGGACTATGTATAGCAGTTACAGACTGGAAGTGGGGGAAGAAAAATCTGAAGCAGGTTCTGGCATGCACAAGATCTTCACAGGGTCTAGATGAACAAAACTGAAGTCTTTAACAGAAGGCGAGGAAGGCCAAGAGAAGTATATTGTTGAACTAAATTGTCTTCACTGTAGAACTGTGTGGGAGAAGGATTCTGTGCCTTTCTCGAAACTTTTCATTCCCACTTGAGATCCCATGAAGAGGAATAAACACAAAGAGGACTGGGACTAGCTGAGAAGAGGGAGCATCCAGAAGCAGTGAGGCTATGTTGAGGAATAGTGTTTCTGTCTTTGTCAGGGTAGTGATGAAGGAGGACTCTTTAGTGCTGGCACCTTAGTCAGACATCACTGCAGTTAGGCTTTTCTTGCAGAAAAACTGCATTTCCTGACTTGGAGTCAAGCTTAGCTTCATGGGACAGTACAGTTTGAGTATTAATGGCCATCTCTTCCAGAAGGTTTCCTCTGCTCTCCCTTAACACTAGTACTGGAAGAAAGGAATCCATTGCTTGTGCAGTGTCTCTCAGCTGTAGTAGGAAGTTACTTGTCATCAGCCACAGAATTGATAAGCTGCTGAAATCCTGCATCTCCGTTGTAGAGCAAGTGTGTTGCTGGGTTCTGCTCAAGGCGAGAAATGGAATTGCTTGTTGGACCATGGTCAGACTGTCTTACGGGTCAATAGGAAGTCATTCCTCTATTCAAAGTCTGAAGGATGGAGTCAATAAGAGATTAATGTTTTTAAATTTGGGACTAAA